GTTCGGGGGGATTTAGGGGGGGGGTCCGGGGGCCCCCCCCGTCCATTATCGCAGGGAGATGCTCCAGTCAGCCCCGATGGGGACCCCCGGGCGCCGCAGGGTCAGCACCGAGCGCTCGGGGTCGTGCTGGAAATGCAGCGGGGTCTGGGAACCGCCTGGGGGGGACACGGAATTCGGGGTCAGGGATCCCAAATTTGGGGTCAAGGATCCCGAATTCCAGCTCAGGGACCCCAAAAACCCACCAAGAACACAAAATTCCCCTCAGAAACATCAAATTTCCCCTGAGAGACCCCGAATTCACCTCAGGGACCCCAAAAACCCATCAAGAACACAAAATTCCCCTCAGAAACATCAAATTTCCCCTGAGAGACCCCGAATTCCAGCTCAGGGACCCCAAATTCCCCTCAGAAACCCCAAAGTCTCCATGAGGGACCCCGAATTCACCTCAGGGACCCCAAATTCCCCTCAGAAACCCCAAAGTCTCCATGAGGGACCCCGAATTCACCTCAGGGACCCCAAATTCCCCTCAGAAACCTCAAATTCTCCGTGAGGGACCCCAAATTCACCTCAGGGACCCCAAATTCCCCGCAGAAACCAAAAATTCTCTCAAGGACAACAAAATTCCCCTCAGGAATCCCAAATCCTCCCTCAAGGACCCCAAAAACCCCTCAGAAACCCCAAAATCTCCTCAGGATCCCCCCCAAATCCCCCCCTCCAACCCCTCACTGTCCATCCTGAGCCAGGTGCCCTGTGGCCTCCCCACACCCCCAGGATGACCCCTCCAAAACCCCCCAAAACCCATCCTAAAAAACTCAAAACCCCACCAAAACCCCCCAAAAATCCCTCTCACCATGGGTGGTCAGCAGGGCGCTCTCAGGCCTCCTCGCACCCTCAGGATGACCCCTCCAAAAACCACCCAAAACCCACCCTAAAACCCCTCAGAAACGCCCTAAAACCCACCTTAAAACCCCCAAAATCCCCCAAAATCCACCCTAAAACCCCCAAACCCCCCAAAAATCCACTCAAAACCCCCCCTCACCGTGGGTGCTCAGCAGTGTGCTCTCCGGCCTCCCAACACCCTCAGGATGACCCCTCCAAAAACCCCCCAAAACTCCTCAGAAACCCCCCAAAACCCACCCCAAAACCCCTCAGAAACGCCCCAAAACCCACCCTAAAACCCCTAAAAACCCCCCAAAATCCCTCTCACCGTGGGTGGTCAGCAGGGCGCTCTCAGGCCTCCTCACACCCTCAGGATGACCCCTCCCCAAAATCCCCAAAACCCACCCTAAAACCCCTCAGAAACCCCCCAAAACCCACCCCAAAACCCCTCAAAAACGCCCCAAAACCCACCCTAAAACCCCTAAAAACCCCCCAAAATCCCTCTCACCGTGGGTGGTCAGCAGGGCGCTCTCCGGCCGCCCCACCCCCAGGATGACCACTCTCTCCAGCCAGGCCGGGGTGGACATGGACCCGCGGGGGTCAGCGGAGCTGGGGGGACAGAAGGGTCACGGGGGGGTCACAGCCCCCCAAACATCCCCCCAAAAAAATCTCCCCTGACCCCTCAACCCCATCACAGACAGGGCCCAGGAGAAACAGGGGTTTGCGGGGGTCTGGAGGTGGTTTTGGGGTATTTTGGGGCTGCTTTAGGGATATTTTAGGACCATTTTTGGGTACCTGACCATGAGGGTTCCTAGGTATTGTTGTGGGGTGGATTTGGAGGGTATTTTTTAGTATTTTGGGTTATTTAGGGCCAGTTTTTTCCCTCACGTTTTCCCGCCCTTTTTCTCCCCTCACGTTTTCCCGCCCTTTTTCTCCCCTCACATTTTCCCGCCCTTTTTCTCCCCTCACGTTTTCCCGCCCTTTTTCTCCCCTCACGTTTTCCTTTTCCCCCTTCACATTTCTCTTTTCCCCCTCACTTTTCCTCTTTTCCCCTCACATTTCCCCCCCGTTTTTCCCCTTTGGTATTGGGGTGTTTTGGTTACTTGCCTGTGAGGGTGCCTGGGAGGTTTTTTGTGGCAGTTTTGGGGATATTTTAGGGTAATTTTAGAATATTTTTGGGTACCTGGCAGTCGGGGTACCCTGGGGCTGTCTCAGACAGGATTTTTTGAATATTTTAGGACATTCTGGGCTATTTTTGGGATATTTTGGGTACCTGGAGGTGAGGGTGCCGTTGGCGAAGCTGAAGTGTCGATGTAGGAATGCGTTTTTGGTGTCATAGTCAAAGCTGACGCCATCATCCAGGTACAGATCCCCCTGCGCCGTGCCCTGGGGGACAAAAGGGGGTTTGGAGGGGTCCCAGAAAGGTCTGGGGAGGTTTTGGGGGGTCCCAGAAGAGTTTGGGAAGGTTTGGGGGGGGGGGGGGGGGGGGGCCGGGGGGGGAGTCTCAGTGGATTTGGGGGAGGTCTTGTGGGATTTGGGGGGTTCCTGGAGGAGTCTGGGGGGAAAATGAGGGGTCGGGAGGTGCCTCAGAGGGTTTTTGGGGGTCCCAGGAAGGGATTTTGGGGTCCCTTGGGGGGGATTCGGAGTCCCTGCACTCACCTGGAAGGGGTTTGAGGGAATTTTGGGGTTCCTGGCAGGAGTTCTGGGGTCCCTGTACTCACCTGGGAGGAGTCTGGGGAGGGTTTTGGGGTCCCTGGGGGGGTTTTGGGGTCCCCGCACTAACCTGTGAGGTTTCGGGGCGGGTTTTGGGGTTTCTGGCAGGGTTTTTGGGGTCCCCACGCTCACCTGGGGGCTCAGGGCCACGTAGAGGGTGAAGGGGTCGCCCCTCATGGCCTCGGTGGAGCGGCGAGGCCGGTCCTGGCGCGGGATCACCGTCCCACCCCGCTGGAACACCGGGATCTGGGGGGCACGGAGGGGTCAGCACCCCGAAAACCCCATTAAAAAAAACCCCAAATCCCCCCAAACCCCTCCCAGAAAAAACCCCAAAATCCCCCAGTGCTGGAGGTGATTTTGACCACTGTCCCCCCTGCATTGGAACACAGGGATCTGGGGGGATTCAGGAGGTTTTTGGGGTCTCCAAGGGGATTTTGGGGTTGCCATGGAAGTTCTGGGGTCTCCAGGGAGGTTTTTGGGGTCTCCAAGGGGATTTTGGGGTTCTGGGGTCTCCAGGGAGGTTTCTGGGGTCCCAACCCCCTCCCCAAACCCCCTGAGCCCCCCCAAAAACAACCCATGGTGCTGAGGGTGATGGGCACCACCCTCCCCATGCGGGAACAGGGAGATCAGGTGAGGATTTTGGGGTGTCCAGGGGGAATTTTGGGGTTTCCAAGGGGAGTTTTAGGGTATCCCGGGGGTTTTGGGGTCCCATCATCCCCCCAAACCCCTTGATCCCCCCCAAAAACCCACGGTGCTGAGGGTGACGGGCACATAGAGGGTCTGGGGCGCCCGGTGCTGCTCGTGGGTCTCGTCATTGTACCAGACCTGGGGGGAAAATTTAGGGTTCAGGAGGGTCATGAACCCCAAAAAAACCCTAAAAAACCCCCAAAATCCCCTCACTCACCTCTCCCTCCCCAGGCAGGTACACGTTGACCCCACGGGCACCCGGCTCTGTCACGGGGTGCACCAGGAGCACCCGGTCTGGGGGACAGGGGTTAGCAAGGGGGAAACCCCAAAAATGACCCCAAAAGGGATCCTACAAGGGGTCAGGGACCCCAAAAAGGGAGTCAGGGACCCTAAAAAGGGTCAGGGAGTCCCCCTCACCGAGCAGGTACTGGTCATCCATGGCAAAGGTCTGGGGGTCATCTGGGAATTCCATCCACAGGGGCCTGGGGGGACAGCGGGGTTTGAGGTCAGGGTGTCTGGGGGCACTTTGGGGATTTGGGGTCAGGGGGATTTGGGGGTGTTTTGGGGGTTTGGGGTCAGGGGGATTTGGGGCTAGGAATCTGGGGTCATCAGAGTTTGGGTTCAGGGAATTTGGGGTTATTCTGGATGGATTTGGGGTTACCCTAGGTAGGTTTTTGGGATGGATTTGAGGTTTTTGGGGTGGATTTGGGGTTTTTGGGGTTGCACACCTCATGACAGGGATGAGGTGGCAGTGGTAGAAGGCACGTGGGCAGGAGGGGGATTTGGGGTTATCCCGGGTGGGTTTTTGAGGTGAATTTGGGGTTATTCCAGGTGTGTATTTGGGGTGGGGCGTGGGCGCGGAAGAAGGGCTGGAAGGCCCCGGCCTGGTACCAGCGCACCTGCAGCTCCGGGCCCGGGTTCTGGAAAAAGCCGCCCACGTCCGCTGCCAACGGGGCAGGGGGGGCAGTGAGCCCGGATCCTGAGCCCAGATCCCGGTGCTAATCCTGGTCCCAGCCCTGATCCCAGCTCTGATCCCAGTCCTGGTCCTGGTCCTGGTCCCAGCCCTGATCCTGGTTCTGATCCTGATCCCAGCTCTGATCCCAGGAGGGGTCCTGGTCCTGATCCTGGTGCTGGTCCTGGTCCCAGCCCTGATCGCAGTCCTGGTCCTGATCCCAGCTCTGATCCCAGTCCTGGTCCTGGTCCCGATCCTGGTCCCAGCCCTGATCCCAGCCCTGGTCCTGATCCCAGCCCTGATCCCAATCCTGGTCCTGATCCCAGCCCTGACCCCATTACTGATCCTGCTCCCAGTTCTGATCCTAGATCCTGGTCCCAAACCCTTTCCTGATCCTGATCCCAGCCCTGATCCCAATCCTGGACCCATTCCTATTCCGGATCCCAGCTCTGACCTCATCCCTGACCCCATCCCCAATCCCTGACCCCATTCCCTATCCCGTATCCCAGTCCCTCCTGGTCTTCCCTATCCCATATCCCAATCCCAGCATTCCCAGTATTCCCAGTGCTCCCAGTTTGGCTCACCCCCGCAGAAGGCCAGCCCGGCCAGCCCGAAGCTCAGGCACATGGGGATGGAGATCCGCAGGTGCTCCCAATCGGCCGTGTTGTCCCCGGTCCAAACCGCACCTGGCGGCGTTTGGGGAGGTCAGGGGGGGTTCCCCTCCATCCTGACCCCCCCCCAGAATTCCAGGATTTGCCCAAAATCCCGGGATTTCCCCCCAGTCCTCACCGTAGCGCTGGGAGCCGGCGAAGAAGGCGCGGCTGAGCACGAAGGGCCGGTGCCGCCCGCCCGAGCGCCGGATCTGCCCCTCGGCCGTGGCCTTGTGCTGGCAACGGGGAAAACAGGGTCAGCCACCCCAAAGCTGACCCCAAACCCACCCCGAAGGGACTGGGGGGTCCTAAAGCGGTTTGGGGGGAAATGAAGGGGGAATTGAGAGGGTTTGGGGGTCCTAAAGGGTGTTTGTGGTGGGGTCTAAAACAGTTTTGGGGGGTCCTAAAGGGGTGCAGCTCGCGGTGCTCCCAGCCCCCCAAGTTCCCAAGGTTTAGGGGGGGTCTCTGAGGGGTTTGGGGGGCTCTGGGAGGTCGGGATTTTTTGGGGTCCCTGTGAGGTTTTGGGGGTGTCCCTGGAGGGGTTTTTGGGGGGGGTCTCACCACGTAGAGCCCGTAGAGGTTGTGCAGCTCGCGGTGCTCCCAGCCCCCGAAGTGCCGCGCGTCCTTGTGCATCGTCACCTCGGGGCCGCTGAACACCGACGGCTCGTTCATGTCGTTCCACGTGAACAGCGCCTCCGTGGAGCCCTGGGGGGACCCCAAATCAGCGGGGGGACCCCAAAAATATGGGGGGAGGGGTTTCTAAAACCCTCCCAGGGGATCCCCAAAAATCGGGGTGGAAAGGCAAAGTGGGGTCTCCAAAAACGCACCAAGGGAAAAGGGTGAGAGGGAGAAAGGGGTGGGAAGGGATTTGGGGGGGTTACCTAAAACTAGGGAGGGCTTGAGGCTCAGGAAAGCCCAAAAATCAGCAGGGAAACCCCAAAAATATGGGAAGGGTCTTAAAACCTCCAGGAGGTTCCCCAAAATCCCCCCCAAAAAGATGGGGTGGTCTCCAAGGGAAAAGATGCCCTAAGGGAAGAAGGTGAGAGGGGGAAAAGGGTGGGGAGGGGAATTTGGGGGGCGGTCCCAGGGTTCTGGGAATGCTTCAAGGGGCGTCCTGGGACTCTAGGGGGGTCTAACAGAAATTTGGGGGGGGGGGGTGGCGGAGATTTTGG